AAAAAAACCATCAAAATACTTCTATTTTTATTAGAAACATGTAAATGTTTTTGTTAAATCCCTATGACTTTCAGCCCATTTCTTGGTTTCTTGAAGCCCAAATTTTGACATCTGAAAGGTTGGCAGTAATGCCAGATCCTCAGAGATGCTGAGCCCATTGTAAGAACTGAGTATCACTGTCTTCCAAAAAAACCCCACCCAGAACAATGAAGGAAGTACATGAACTGAGCAGCTTCTGTGTTTGCTCCCTCCACTCCACTCCGTGACAGGCTGTTCTCGCTTGGCCAGCGCCCAGTAGGTGACTGACTGATGGGGTCTGGGTATTGCAGAGGACTTTTGGGGAGCACGTGCTCCCGCTGAAGTCAGCGGTATCGGGGGTGCCTTAGAGCAAAACTCAAAACCGTCTGGTAGTGTGTGTGAGAGAACTGCTGGCTCTCAGCCCTGTTGCTGAGATGGGGAAGAGTTTCGTTGCTGAGATGGGGAAGAGTTTCGTTACTAAGATGGGGAACAGTTTTGTTACTGAGATCGTGACTAACTTAGCACTGACTGGCGTAACTACAGAGCAAGGTGCAGCTGAGTCCCCTGGTAAAAGCAGAAGGACAGGATACATTCTGTGGCTGGTTTATATGGGTTTTTGAAGGAGGAAGGTGGTAAACACATAACATGGTGGCTCCCGCAAAGCCCGCTCCCAGGGCAATGTGTTCCTTTGAGACATAATTGATTCCTGCCATCAGGCACCAGCCTGCTCTCCCCCGGGGTCAGCGCTTTCCCACATCCAACCCCATTATCCCACAGACCATGCCTTTTGTACAACACACTCCAGCTATTCATGTGCAAAGCAGCTGTAATCCCCAGACCTTTCAGAGTCAATATACCAGGAAATAATAAATCCCTCTTGTGCACTCTTGAATATGCTGAGAGGTGACTTGTGGGAATTTCAGCTGGGCAGAAAAATAATAAATTCTCCTTAATTTTTAATTATTTGGAATGCTCACTGTAGGGAGACTGTGTCATTGGTGCATGACTATTTCAGGGTCACCCACACAAGCAGCTATAGAAATTGCTTTTGCCTCTAACAACCCTGAAAATACAGATCAAATTGTCTCATATGTTTCTTAATGATCAAAGTCCACTTTCCTTCACTTATGCACCTGGGAACGGCAGTATATTAAGCATTCTGGATCTAAAGAAAAAGTAATTAAAAAAGGTTAAACCTGTGAAGAATGTACTTTACAGTAATAAAAGACCCCTTTTTGCCAGGGTTCTAATGTCTAAAGGAGGCAAGATAATGCCATGCTAATGACATTTAATGGAATATTTTATACAGTAGGTCTAATAACAACATAACCTTTACCCTGAAGGAGGCAGATTTCACTACACTTCCACTCTGTTCAGACAGCAGAATTATGCTTGGCTTGCGAGAGCAGGAGCAGCCAATCCTGAATAGCAAGTTTGGCAGGATAATTTCTTTATATATTGCCTCCCATGCCAAACCATTTTTTTTTAACCTATTTACTGTGTCGAACGTCGTAGCACTGAAACACCCTGAGCGGAACACGGTAGGGAGGGCTAGGTGCACCACGGGGCTGGGAGAAGGGGTCTTCCTCTGTGACCCCAAAGCAAGCAGTGGCTCGAGTTAAAAACTGTCAAAGGATCATTAGGGTTCACCTCCAACAGGCAGTACCCTGTCTTTTCAAACCTTATCCAAGAAACCTCCACAAAGCAAGTCGTAAGAGTGTGAGGATGATGAAGGGATGTGGTAATACTGCAGGGATTTGTGGTGCTAAAATCCAGTAAGCTTAAACATTAGGGCACGTCTACCCAGCAACAGTAAGGCACGAATGTGGCACAACATACAGACCCGATAGTTTCATCAAGCGTTCAAAGATAATAATTCCACGCCAATGTGTCAGCACAGGTCTACTTGGGACCCTGGCAGGTGTCCTCATTGCTGCCGTCTTCCTCGGTGATACTGCCACGAGCGCATTACCTGTGAAAGTGAGATCACAGCTACCTCGGTCCTAAAAAGCCTTCCGTTTTACCTGTGTAAAGCCTTTCCAGCAACGCTAACCGTGGGCTGGCCTGCAGAAGAGACAAAAGCCCACTCGAGATCCGACTGCAGACAGGACGGATCCTGCAAGGCCCGGCTCTCCAGGCAGCCGTGATGACCGAGGGTGTCCCAGGGAAGAAGTATCTCTGCCAGGCTCCCAGCAGACGGGGAGAAAAGCAACTCCTCTGCGGGAAGGGGCCACACGTAGCACTTCCACTGCAGAGGAGCACTGTCCCCAGAGGCTCTCCTCCTCCACTTCGCCCTCGCAGGTGTTCAGCGCTATCCCCAAGCCGTGCCAGAAAAGCACGGGGGCCACTTCGGCCCTGTCCCTACCTCCCACCACAGACACGGGCTCAGCTCCTCATTCCAAGAGGGCTCTGCCCAGAGTTTAGCAGCACCCCGTAACTCCCATTGCCCAGAAGAGCAAACTGAGGCACGGTGAAGCAAACCAGCAGCCGCCGGGCCAGGCAGCGCTGCAGCTGAGCTCGGGATTCCTGCGTGCGAACCGGCGTCTCTGCCCCCTTGCCCTGCGTTGCCCCTTTCTCCTGGTGAACACAGATCTCTGAGAAACCCCTGCCTGCACGGCGAAACACGCGCTTTTCAGCCTTACTCGGTGAAAAAGCCATGCGAGTTCATCGTGCCTTGACAGAAGTGCAGGCTCCACAAAGGAGTTATTAGCACCAGGCTGTGTGGGTTTGAATTTCTCTGCGTTTCCCATACTTTTCCCCTATTGATAACATTTCTTGTTGGGACAATAGAAGTGTGCCTTGCAACTACTCACGACATTAGTGACGGTGCTTGAGCCTGAATGATTTAAAGGGAAAGAATCCAACTCCCAAAAGACCATCTGGCTATCAGTTATAATACAGCAATAAAGGTCAGGGCTGCTTCTCAGGAGTTGGGAAAAAGATGGTTTTTGACACTGAAGAGTCTCTTCAACCAGCTTGGTGCATGCCTACCCGTCAGCTCCTAGCTTCAAGGCCTGCCGCCATTGCTCCCTTGCTAGGAAAGGGATAACACGGGACACCAGCTTTTGGGAGGAAGGCCAGCCAAAGAATACAGGAAAAAGGGCAACACCTTATTATAGCTGGCAAAAGCTAGGGCATGGTCTCTGAGCTGTGTCTTATTTTGTATCATAATCCTTTGATTGCTTCAAAGTGTTCATGAGATGTCTTGTCTCCTGGCTTTCCCACAACGCAGGGAATAAAGGGCTCCAGGGACAACATCTGCCCTTCACAAAGAGCTAAGCCCATTCAGGCCCATACAATGAAAACCACGAAGCTGGCTATTTCAGTGACACCTCTCTCCTTCCTGTCAACTGCCCATTAAACTCAGGCTTCGCTTCAGGATTTCCAAGTAAGAAATTGTCTTTGGCTTTCTTACCTCACTGCACACTTCCCTCCATTTCCACTTCCAGATTCTCAGCCACGCTCCCGTGCACCAGCATTGCACTGGGAGAAGACAAGCATGCCTCTGCCTCTGCACTACAGGCTAGACCCTCGGATGGCAGGATGCAGCACAGCTTTTCTCAGATAGGTTCTGGGTTATTTTCAGCGCTGCCTCAAGGACTGTATCCAGGCAGAGATTTTTCTCATAAGACAAAATCAGAATTGACTTAAAGTGTCCACGCAACTTCATTCTTTTTCTTGCCTTTACCACAAAAGAAATAAGGTTTGCTTGATTTTTGTTGAAATTTTCATGCAAATACAAGCAAGCAGCACTATCCCCATTTTCCAGATAAGAAAGTGGAGTGGGGATGACACGCTAAAGGTTATACATGGAGGTCTCCAAGATCTCATGTTCTGCAAGCTGTGGCAGGTCCCGTCTGCAGTGGAGCAGTGTGATGCTGCTTGGTCAAATGAGAACGGAGCGCAGCAGAAATAGAAATCTCAGGCAAGAAGCAGAACTGACCTTGCTGAGGTCCGAAGATGGGCCTCAGCTACTAAATCCCATTCATGACCTGCCTCTGACTTCCCAAGGCTGAGGGCTCCTGGGTTGAATCTGATGCTATTCTTCAGCCCGTCTTAACCACCATTCTTGTAAATGTTGGTAGGAAAGAAAGAGTAGAAAAGGGAAAAGAGCGAGCTACAGGCTGACTAGGCATGGGCCCAGTTCTGCCAGGTGTGTGGCTGTCCTTAATGAAGGCAATGGGAACACTGGTGCGACGGGCTCACAGACCTCGGGGCATGAAGAGAGAAACAGAGGTTACCGTTTCCATTTGCTTCCATTTCCTATTTATTAACCCTGTCCGTCCAACATAGAATAGAATCATAGAATCGTTTAGGTTGGAAAAGACCATCCCACCATCCTGCCTGTAGATTCTCCACAGCATTTAGAAACGTCATGCAAACAAGCCTGTCGGTTCACACTGGTAACACTTTGGCTCACCCATTAAAAGTGTAATCACTGTATGGACAAGCGCAAATACACCCACCCTGGGAGGCTGGCTGGAGAGTGCCCTCTCTAGAAAGGGTAGAGAGGTGTCCTTGGCGCTGTTGGTTGTGCCCCTAACAGTGCTCCCCTTCTTCTTTTCCCGCCTTCCCCCAAAAGCGTGCCTCCTCCACGCCACAAATGTGACTGGCACATGCAGGGACCCGGGAATGCAATTGATCCCAGATGACCAGCTGGAGGGTCAGTGTTTTCCCAGATCCCTGGGCAGCCCTGAAGAGCCACGCTGCACACTCCACCAGTCGGCGTGGGCAGAAGGTTATTTTCTCCAGGGCATTTGCAATCAATGTACCATGCACTAATAGATGCTTCCTCTATTGTTCAGCTGTGTGCCTGGATTGGCTGAGTGGCTGTGGGAAACACCAGCAATCCCCAGACTCACAGATCTGCTGAAGCTCCCCGATGTATAAATAGAGGCGGTCGGGAACTGCCAAAGCATAGCCTGACGCTCAGCACAGCGGCCCGACGTGGGGGTCTGTGCCCAGGACTGAGAGCACTAAGAATGGCTCCCAGTAACACTCTCATGATCCACATGGAAGAGAAACTGCTGCCAAAAGAAAAGAATAAAGTAAGTAGAGCCCTTGACAGGATTGGAAAGGCTGGTCTGCGCTCTATGCAATGGGCTGCCTCTATCAAATAAATACTACACAGGAAAAGATGAGATAAGGAGGGAGAAAGTGGGCTGGGGGAAGGAAAATAGGTGAAAGAGGGATAAAGGAGACTACATAGGTTTTTAAAAATGAAATTGAATGGGGAACAAGTAGGCAGCATTGCAAAGCTCTCCTACCAAAAGAAAGCGTCTTTGAACATGTGTGTATCAGGGCATCAGAAGGGGAAATTAGGTCAGGTCTCAGAAAACCCTTAACCTCTCCTGCAGCTGAGGAAGCCGGTGGTGGAGAAAATGCGCCGTGACCGGATTAACAGCAGCATCGAGCAGCTGAAACTGCTCCTGGAGAAGGAGTTTCAGAGGCACCAGCCCAACTCCAAGCTGGAGAAAGCCGACATCCTGGAAGTGGCTGTCAGCTACCTGAAGCAGCAGAGCCAGCTGCAGGACCAAAGTGAGTGCAGAGCACGTATTGCACGCCACAAAGTCTGCTCCCGCAGGCCCTTGCCCTCCCGTGTAGCCCTGGCCCCTGAAGCATGCAGGGGCTGTAACGCACCAGCTCTAGCCACGTGAGCAAAGCTCGTGGACTCAGGCTCTTGAAAGAAACTTAATGCCTGTCCCATGTTTTGGTCATGATCTTAACCCACTGCTCTTGCTTCTTTCTTTTCTAGCATTCATTCACAAGAATCTAGAGCAGGACTTTAACAGTGGATACCTGCGGTGCCTCAAGGAAGCTATGCATTTTCTGTCCTACTATGAACCCAAGAAGGAAACTCAGGTGCAGCTAATCAAGCATTTCTGCAAAGCTCAGATGGGCGCAGATGTCATGCACTCTCCTGCTCCGCGTAGCCCACCTCTGTCACCCTGTCTGTTTGCCAGAAGGCAACCTGCCCAGAAGACTGTGGCTGCTGCTTCTACTATCTGGAGACCCTGGTAGACCTGTTGAACTTTGCTTTATTCCTATGTTTTGCCACAAAAACTAGAGGGACCTGTGATTTAATAGTTCCTCTTGAAAGTAGGAAACATTGCTTTCCAAAGGTGGGAGGGGGGCAGTTACTGTTTTTCTGTCACAAGAAATGAGGGTCGCTGAGTAGTTTCCCTTCATAGTGAAGGAACGTGTTTGTATCTTGCAGCAGATTTGCTGCTCTTATTGGTGGCTCCTAGCCAAAGAGACGACCAAGTTCTGCGGTGATTTAGAGAGCCAAATGCCATTCACTTTCCATCACGCTTTTGCTTGGCAAGGCTGTTGAGCCTGTGGCTGCCAGTAGAAATCTTTTTACTAACTCGCTGGGTCACTGGTTCAAGTGCTCCATTGTCTCTGGATAATGCATTGACCTTCCTAAAGAAAGAGCACTTTGAAGAATGTATTTTGTATCATAAAGAGAGTATTGAGCCTTTACCTTTTGAGTGAAAGTTGTTAGCAAGAAATGCTGATTCTTCTGAAGTTCCTATACTATTTTTAGTGTACCTTGTTACAGAAAGTTATGATGATAACAGATAGCTCTAGGGAAAATTCTCTTAATGTCAGTACGTGCTACTCTCAGTTGAGGGGTAATTGATGCCTTTTGTAAAGGAAATGCCTGCGATATACCTTAAGGAAAAGGGAGAGGAAGGGAGGCAATAAGTACTTTATGATCATTCACTGAACATGCTAAAGAGCTTAAAAAGCTTTTATAAAGTTGTGATGTATTCATCCTGTGTGATGTTCAACTTTGGTGTCTTCACTGTACAATACAATAAAAATGGGTTTAGTCATTGATACTTTGGTTTGAAATGATTAAAATGGCTAATGCTCCTGGACTGTGTTGCATGTAGGCTCCTCCTGCGGGGGGAAGCTGTAAGGAGATGTCATATTTCTGAGCCCTTCATTCCAGTACGTAGTTTACATTTGTGACATTCATTTGGCAGAACAGGATTTCAGATCCTGCAAAGCAGCAACCTCTGGAAAAGTTATCAACAGCTGAAATGGAGGTGAAATTGAAGTGAGATACTGAGAGGTGTAGATCCAGGTACTGAACAGCAACCTATTCAGCAAATCACTCATTTCACAGCCAGTTTATTTCCCCCCACTTCCCATTAATTTACCCACCAACCTGAGTTCAGCCGTATCCTTTCTGTCCATTTAGGAGGTAGCAACATGCAAAACTCCTAATAACTTCCAAAGAGTTTGGCACCTGACGCTGCTTGGGGATCTCACCCTTCTCTTTGAAACTACCCACAATCGGGTGAGCTAGATTTTGCTGTCTTTTAATTTTAGCACCTTCTGTTACCTAAACATGAATTCTGCTGGCAATAACAGAATTGCTTTCTTTACTGAAGTGAAATCTGCTCGTATATGGCTAAAAGTATACATAATTTGATAGAAAAAGCATTTGCTATTCTAAATTATTTCCCCATACTCTTCTCTTCTTCAAAGGTTTTATTCTCTTTTGCTGACATCCACCTAAGGGTCCAAAACATGCCATGAACAGGGCCTGTGCCTCACAGTTGGGAAACTGCCACGCTCCTCCGGGCTTTTGAGGGTTTTTTTTCTACCCAGACTGTTGTAGCGATGGTCTCTCTGCCCAGTATCTTTTAGATGATCCCCCCTTGATTTTTTCACCCCACCTCAATTCAGAAAACAAATCTAGCATATCCTCTTACACGGAGGTTTACAACAGCCTGCCTGCCTGGCTTGCACCAGCTGGGTGACCCAAAGTAAGCAGCCTGGGCTTCCCGGGACTTGCAGAGAGGCACCGCAGCCTCCGTGCGCGGTCTCAGCTCCAGCCCTGGTAGACTCTGCTGCAATTCTCTACGTACAGGCCACGTGATCCTGTCTCCCGAGGATTAAGCCAGCTGCACTGTGGTGATGTGAGGAGGATTAGCACCTGTTGTAAAGGATGTGCTTGTCCTTCTCGACACGGCTACACAAAGAGGGAATGGATGAGGTGAAGGAGCAAAAAGGGATTCCGAAGGTATTTGGGGAAGCAGGAAGAAAAGCACGAGGAGGGGATCCTAAGGCCACCCTTGAGCACCTTACATACCAACAACCTCTCCAAAACACAGCACTTTCCCCAATAACATTCACTCACTTTTCCTTAGGAGACTTCCCATTCATTGCCCAGTGGGGACTTTTATTTGCCCTTCTCTTCAAAGTAAAATAAATCCACACAAATAATCAGTTCGCAAAACTATTATCTAACCACAGTAATACATTCATTTGGATATATGACACGGAACCCTCTCATTCTTCCAGAGATATAGAAACAGCATTGGTCAGCAGTTTCTACTCTCCTCAGATTCCCTGGGAGAGATGCCCCTGAAAATCGTCGTTTCTAGCGTATGCCTTTTTCCTTAAAGAAAAGGAAACCTAGAATATCTGATCTTGTCAAGGAGCTGCTTAGATAAGCACTAAGCAAACTCGGATCTGCTAAGCTGACAAGATCAAACTGCGTTCAAACACTGCTAGCCTGTCCTCACTTGATTTGTGATTAAACCCTTTGTTATACGTATGGAAAGGAGCACAAAGCCAGCTAGCCAGGTTGAGAACATACTGCTCTACCTCATTACAGCTGCAGGGATCATTTTGGTATTACTTTACCCTGAATGCACGAGCTGGTTGAGCGCTCTTCATCTGTCTGCCAATGCAGTACAAGGTGGGTTTTTGCTACTGTTCTGCAAATTCATCGGGGGCTGACATCAATGCTGCGGACAGATTTGTTCTTCCTAGCGAACTACTAAATAATTCAGAAGAGATATTTCTAGATTTTGCGGTTGCTTAGCGATCTTGAAAAAGTCACTTCACCTTGCTGTGCTCAACTTGTCTTTGTCAGTTAGTACAAGCTTCTGAATCCCAGCTAAATCCAAGCTGTTCATCCATGCCTGTGCATTTTTAAATAAAGCCTAATTAAGGCAGTTTGCGGGTAGGAAGTTTGGGGGAGTTTGGACTCAGCCAAAATGCAACGTGCCCCAAAGCACACCGCAACCTTACTCCTGCTCCCTGTGGTCCGTAGTCGAGTCACACACGGCACAGAGAAGTCTGCCGCTGTTATGTGGACGGGTATCTCCTGCAGCTAATGCGTTACCACCCAAGTAACCCACGTTGTGAACGTCACCGTTGGCAGCATCACTGCAGTTTCTTGAAAACCGACAGCATAAACACAAAAGAGAAAAGGAAACCGAAGAAGAGCTGCACAAGCTGAAGACTGTTGGATTTGAACCCAGTCCCTCCAGTTCTAGGCCAGCACAGGAACAGGCTGTAGAAATGACAACTCGTGCAAAACTCATGTGAGATCGCAGCCAGACTTCTCAGCCCAGAACTCCTGCCACCCATATTGGCATGAATCTGGAGGGACACGGCTACTGTCGTTCAAACCACAAGGTCTGATTCTCATTTACACCGAGGCCGTATTGCATTGCCTACAGGGGGGGAGTCGATCGTGCTTAGCTCTCAGTCTACGTGAGATTCAGACCTACTGTTTGCAGAGTGGGGTAAGGGAGAGAAACAGCAAGCGCCTCCTTTCTGGGCAGAGGGAAGAAGCCAAACCCCACCAGAAAGCCTCCGTTTGCTCCAGGGAGTCAGATCCATGGCTGGTGCAACTGCACCGCTTCCGTTTTTCACCAGCCAAAGACTTGCCCCGCTGGCCTTTAGTTTACCAATTACTTGAGAGTTAAAAGCCAGACCTCTGGTTTCACCAGTCAGCACAGCAAAGGTTATGTTTACAATTTATTAATTATTATCACTTATAATAATCGAATGCCAAGCTCCTTATTGCTCCTCTGTCCCCTGGGGTGACCCTCCCCTGCTCCAACACATTCCCACCCTTAGGGAAGATGTTGTTTATTATGCTGATCCCACAGCCCAGGAATACTCTCCCGACAAAGCCCCTATTAACCTCAGAGTGTGGGCCTGAGTTTCTCAGAGTTTCCCACACTTTCTTCCCTATTTATGACATTCAAAGGGACCACAAAGGAAGCGTGCCTCACAACAGCCCACATTAGTGACGCTTTTTGGCTCCGCATTGTGATGACCAGCAATTCCTGTCCCGATAGACCATCTGGAGAGCTATTTTCCCAAGGAGCACATTGATCGATCAGTATTATGCGAGAGCCCTTTTAAAACTTGGGAACGTTATGCTCTTTGACACTAAATAGGTGTCTCGAGAGGGCTTGTCAGAAAGATTTTAAACCATTTAAGGAAGGCACAGAAAAAATAAAAATCGTAATTATTTCTTTAGAAACACCATCAATAGCATTTGTGAGACAGGCTGACATGAATGTAGGAAATGGTCTAAAATAAAAATGCTCCAAAAGTGATACAGAAAGGGAAGCTTTAAGCCATCAAGTTGTGTGCTATAAGTACAGCCCCAGACATGCAAGAGCACCGCTTTTTAGATCCACACAACATAGCCAATGACATTCTGGTTTTCTGTACTCTTCTCTGATAGCCCACCTTCCTCCAGACCTGTCGCTAGCTTGCAGTACGCTGGGTTCCCCTCCACGGAAAGCTAAGTATCAGACTGCGCACCGTAGCCCAGGGTCAGATGGTGAGCATCCACAGTTGGAGACAATTAACGTGGTGGGTCTTGCCTTAGGAAGAGCGAGGACTCCTGCCTGACACGCAAGGTCTGCAAGTACAGGCACTGACAACTATTTGCAGATTTCTGTTTCCCCTTACACTCTCCAATATCTATATATGGATATAATATATATAATACCCTGCTTTCATGTGTGATTTTGAAGCCTGCATCTTCACGATGCCACTCATGACTGTGACGTGACTTACAGAGGAACAAGGCCGCTGAGAGAGCAAGCCTCTTTGTCCACAGCATAGCTGCCGTCTCTCAAGAGCGGGTCCAGGTTTCACACCATCCTCCAAAGAAGGGAATTATTGTGTCACACTATTTAGTCAGCTCCACATGTTTGGCGGTTTTGGGGATTTGTTTCTTTTAAGCCTTC